TTGGTAGAGAATCACCAGCAAACGGCGACAATGAGGAACCACCAGTGAATGGTAAATTAGCGCGTTTGCAAATATGTAGAGGTAAATTAGCAAATATGCAAACATGAGAGCACGTTCGCAAGTAGAATAGATTTGAGGGGTATACTGGTTTATATATAAAAATCTTTCAACTTTAGACTTTAACAAGAGTGACCCACATAATCTATGTGGTACAATATTAGATGAGCGTAATTTAGATAGGCTGTGCTTAGAGCTTCTCCAATGGGTAAATTAGATTTTGCAGCCCCAGCGAGCTCCAACCCAGCTCCAACTCCGGCTGCAAAATGCAGCCGGAGGAAATGAGACTGTAAATATGCAGCATCTTCCCCAAATTTGCAGCTAACTGCAAACTTTTTAAATCCCCACTTTGCCTTTTTAATGATTTGTAAACATTTACTTATTACTTCCATATCCTTTTTTATTAATAACTAGTAATTTAAAATCAACATAAGTTTATTTCTATTGATTATTTTTAAATAAAAATTTTACATTTGAAAATGTTTTGTCGATACCTTCAAAATGAGACTAATATTGAATAATATTAATTAAGATATAAAATTTTAAGAACCAAGTAATTATAATTTTAGTATTAATTTATAATATATGTTATATTTTAAATTAATTCATATAAATTTTTATCATTTTATATTTTTATATTTTCAAAATTATTTAAAGTATTATGTAAATAATTATTTAATAATATGTATTTTAGAAATGGAGTTTGATATAGAGGGGAGTGGTTGAAGTTACACATCTCTAAAAAAGAATATACCATGGTATATTCTTTGGAGAGGCTGCAAAATACAACCTCCCCATTGGAGATGCTCTTAATACATATAAGATGATGTATCATGTATCTACTACATCTACATGAATAGGATTTATCATAAAATATACTGAAAAGACCAAACTTTTGCAGAATTCTAGAGATGATTGAAAAATATAAAGAAACCGACGTACTGATTTATTTTTCTCAAGAATCACATAGAAAGGCAGCCTCTAGAGGAAATAAATAAATATCTTGGAAACAAGAAGGTGTTTGAAAAGTGTAGACAATTTAAGTTCAAACCTTTTTTAGCTCACCCGTATATATCATACAAGGCACGCTCTGTTTCAAGTCCTTTGAGAAAGAGAGAAACAACAAATTTTTTAAACGCGAGAAGAAAATAAAACAAAAAGCCAGATTAACACACTCTAAATTCATGTAAACAATAGAATATTGTCTCTGCCACTGAAAGGGAAAAAAATAAAAAATAAAAAGAACAAGGGAAAGAAGAAATCTAACCAACTTAGATAAGGGGAGTAACTTGCAAGATGCAAAAATTATTTTTGAACTCTCTCAATTGGAGTTGAGTTGGTCGGTCGAGAGCAAACGCCTCTCTTTTTTAAAGAGCTTCATCACGTGACAAGACTCTTTCGGATCCCATGAGTGATGAGATTCGATATCATTTTTTATCACTGCAGGCGCTGTCGACGTTTGGATCGTACTGATCACTGACCGCAGAGTTCACAGTCTCGTGAAGTCCAGGCTGTCCAGCCCACAAGAGTGGGCCCCACCAAGTAAGCACGCAGAAGGTTTTAAAGTGAATTTAACATGAGGCTTTTAAGTTGGTGGGATTGGGTTTGAGCATTGCCGGATGCGTTCTTCATATTTTCTTAATTTCCTCACATCTTCTACACATATTTGAAATATATAAGCCCTTTATTTTTGGATAGATTCACGAAATTCTTTTGACACTTTGCCCATAGGGGACTCTACTTGTTAAAAATAATAATCGTACGTCTCTTTATCTAGAGTATAAAATGGTCACAAAATTTCACTCGGAGGGTCTATCTGCAAAAAATGAAAGTAGAGAGAAGTAAGTATCATCTTATTTATTGTTAAACCCACAAAACTGTAAACATCATACGCTCATTTATTTATACTTTCTTCTATCACCATTGACAAGTTCCAGCTATATATATTTTCGAGTTTCTATGTTTTTGACTAATTAATATGACGCATTATCAGTATTATTCCTAAGAAAATGTGACTTTAAGGGGGTGTTTGTTTCAAATCCCAAAATTTCAAGATATGGATTTCAACATAGAATTTGAAATCCATAAATTTTTTGGTGGTTTTGGGATCTCTAAAATGTTGTTTGTCTCAACAAAGTTTTAGGATATGAAATACCAAAACTTAGGATGTTTTGTTTGTTTCAAACTTAAATTATAGCATTACAAATTTTAGAATTTGAAATCCCAAATTGTAGCAAACAAAATTTTTGATCACCAAAATAATGATTGGTGAATTTAAGAATTTTTGGTGAGCTTACCCCCCATAAAAAAACAAAAACTCTTGTATTTACTCTTCAAGCAAGCCCAGCAAGTCCAGCACAATCAAGTCCAGCAAGCATACAAGGCATTCTATAATAATGATGTAGAAGAATAAGGAGGTAATGTAGCCAAATCAAAAGCAACAAACCCAGCAACCCAGCAACCCAACACACAGACCTCCTGCGGAGTTAATGCACAGACCTCCAGCAACAAATGCTCAAGCACAAGCCACCAAAAAAAAGCACAAGCCATCAAGATATGGTCAACAAGCAAACTGTATATGAGAGTCAAAAATTGAACACATGCCCCTTTAACAAAAAATTAAACAAAACCTGTATATGATACTGTGTACAAAAGTATGGTTGTGGCTCAAAATTAACCAAAACCTGTATCTGAGAATGTGTACAAAAGTATGGTTTGTTTCAGGCCCCAAAAGTCTTTCCCCAAATCAGACTAGTTGAAACAAAATATACACTCAACGATTGGATCCTCATAACTTGCTAGTATGGTTCAAGCTTTTCTGCATAAAGAAAAACAAAGGAATAAAGTACATAGAACAAATATTGCACATGAATGAGATTACCAATAAATTTGAAGTAACCAAACCACAAATATCTAGGGAAAAGACTTACCTGTGTACAAAATTATGAATACCAAGGCTCATAGAATAATGATGTAGAAGAATAAAGAGCTAATGTAGCCAAATACTAAGGCAACAAACCCAGCAACCCATTGCACCAGCATGAAATCTCTTAATAGGACCAAGTTAGGGGCTCAGATATAGGTATTAAAATTGAATACATGGATTGCCTCATCTATCAATGGTGTTGCAATGTAGGTTGCAATCAAATGAATGGATTGCCTCACCGAACATTGTCGATGCAATATAGGTTGCAATCACATGAATGAATTGCCTTACCTAACATTGTAAATGCAATGTAGGTTGCATTCTCATCCTAGATTGCCCTACCTAAACATAGCAAAACATTGTAGATTGCATTCTCTTAACTAAGACCATCATCATTGCCCACTTAGAAGAATACAAAGTAGCCATTGAAACAAATACACTTGTATTTACCCTTCAAGCAAGCCCACAACTCTATAAAATGAAACTGAAACTGAAAAATAAGCTGACTCAAAGTCTGCCAGCGACAACTCTATAAGATGAAACTGAAACTGAAAAATAATCTGACCCAAAGCGGAGTCTCATATACATGTTAGCTCAGTCAAAGTCACCAGCGACAACCACGTCCAGCAAGCATACAAGGCATTATAGAATAATGATGTAGAAGAATAAGGAGGTAATGTAGCCAAATCAAAAGCAACCAACCCAGCAACCCAGACCACCAGCGGCAAAAACACAGACCTCCAGCGACAAAAGCTCAAGCACAAGCCACCAAGTTTAAAGCACAAGCCATCAAGAACAAGTCAACAAGCGAACTGTATATGAGAGTCACAAATCAGTTTCAGGCCCCTTTAACAAAAGATGAAACAAAAGTATGGTTTGTTTCAGGCCCCAAATCAGTTTCAAACCCTCCAAGCAAGCCCACAACAAATACCCAGCAAGGAATACATGGATGATGTAGAAGAATACCCAGCAACCCATTGAATGGATGTAGAAGAATAGCAACCCAAACCATTGAAACAAATACCCAGCAACCCAGCAACCCAGACCACCGGCAACCCCCTCCATTGAAACAAATACCCAGCAACCCAGACCACCGAAAACCCAAAAAATTGAAACAAATACCCAACAACCCAGCAACCCAGCAACCCAAACCATTGAATGGATGTATAAGCTTTCCCAAACCATTGAAACAAATACCCACTAAACCCAGCAACCCAAATCAAAGAATGATGTAGAAGAATAGCAGAGAAAATGTAGCCAAATCAACAGCTTCAAACCCAGCAACCCAGACCACCAGTATGAAAACTCATAATAGGATCAAGTAAGGGGCTCAGATATAGGTATTAAAATTGAATACATGGCTTGCCTCATCTATCAATGGCGTTGCAATGTAGGTTGCAATCAAATGAATGGATTGCCTCACCGAACATTGTCGATGCAATGTAGGTTGCAATCACATGAATGGATTGCCTTACCTAACATTGTAAATGCAATGTAGGTTGCATTCTCATCCTAGATTGCCCTACCTAAACATAGCAACACATTGTAGATTGCATTCTCTTAACTAAGACCATCATCATTGCCCACTTAGAAGAATACAAAGTAGCCATTGAAACAAATACACTTGTATTTACCCTTCAAGCAAGCCCACAACTCTATAAAATGAAACTGAAACTGAAAAATAAGCTGACTCAAAGTCTGCCAGCGACAACTCTATAAGATGAAACTGAAACTGAAAAATATAGTTACATCATTAAGTTGTTAAACTTACAAAATTAATAACATAAAGCTACACCACTAAGTGTTCAACTTACAAAATTAGTTACATCATTAAGTTGTTAAACTTACAAAATTAATAACATAAAGCTACACCACTAAGTGTTCAACTTACAAAATTAGTTACATCATTAAGTAGTTAAATATACAATGAGTTTACAAAAGCAATAGATATGTCAAGTCTTCAAAAGTAGTGCAATATCAAGTTTTCATAAGTCAAACCCTTGCTCGTTGATAATCTTCTCTATAAATAGCTTTTGAGAATTTTTGGTTTTGATGATCAACCTCCTAGCTTCTGATTCATGGTCATACAAGTAATCAAGCACTTTATCCAATACTCCCTCAGAAAATTCACTCTCATGCGTCATTAGAGCATTCGCCATGGTCTCACTCCAATGCACAACACGTTGATTTACATGTTGATTTTGAATTGAGAACAACATCGTGTCAATGATACCACGCATGAGAGTCTCATCCTCTTTAGCCTTGCTACTCTTCTTCCTAGGAGTTGATGTATCAATTGATGCAGAAGCTATCCCACTAGAAGCCTTCAATTTCTTATCTTGAGAGTTGTGGTTTTGCCCACTTGATTTCTCGGACTCAAGACGTGGGCTTGGGGACAAATCAACCTCATTATCACTAAGTATTACATGATCCTCATCTCTATCCGTATCATGTTGTCTAGAACCAAGCTTTTCAGTCATATCTTTGGTGAAATCACCCTTTGCTTGGTCATCTCCCGCGATATAACACAAGTTCTCATAGTGAATGAGAGGAGTGTTCAAATACTCCTTCAATCTAGAGCTATTGCATTTTTTTTCCTATACATTGAAATATTGAAAAATCAGTTACTAAGAAGTAAATATTCGAAGTTTGCTTATTTATCAAAAATATTACCTGTGTCCACCTATCAAAACAATCTGGATCCATGGTGATAATCTTAGTTTGTGGATCATAACCATCCCCACTCATGTTCATGACGGTGCGCATATCAAAATATTTACCCTTCAATGACTTGACATGGTTCATGACATTCTCCTTTGTGAACTCAGTGCCACACTTCTTGTTGACCTCCTCTGCAGCTCTTCGATATGCAAGCACCTTAAAGTTTTTATCAACTTTAAGACCATCCTTTGCCATCTGAGCAAGGAAGGGGATTAGCACATCATCATTCTCTGCAGTCCATTTAGCATTAGGCACCCCCCCTTGTATTCTCTTTTTTGTACAGCACCTTTGGTGGCATTTTTCTTTTAGTAACTGCCCGCTTCTTGCTTTTGCTTTTGCTTGGTGAGGCAGCATCATCCTCAAGGTCAATTGCCATTGGCCTCTTCAAAGAATGAGTCTCACTTGAATGGGTACTAGGGGAAGTGTGGATAAGTGGGTGGCCACTGTTAAGCATATTCGTAAACGACATGGGTTGTTGAGTCATAAATGAGTAGTTCATATCATAAGGATTGTAAGATGGATAAGTCGGTGGAGCAATGTATTGGGGCGGAGGGAATGGTTGTGTAGTGGGTGGTGGGGGAGCCGGGAAGTATGGATAAGTGGGTGTTGTTGGTGTTCTAGGTGAAGTATTCCTGAACTTATCACTTTCATTAGAATCTGCCATGACTGATTGCTACAAATGAAAACAGGCAAATAACAAATTTCAAACCTCATGTTAGTACAATAATAGAGTACGGACATCAAAAAG